ACTTGATGGCAGTGAGTTTGGTTTTTGGCTTTTAGTGGCTCCGTGGAGAAGACCTGGTGATGAGCTCCTGTAAAGACTGTTGCTGTTGTTGTGTGCTGTTCAGTTGACTCTGTCATAGCAACCCCATGTGACAGAGTAGAGCTGTCCCATAGGGTTTCCTAGGCTGCAGTCTTTAATGGCAGCGGACTGCCAGGTGTTTTCTTTTGTGAAGCCACTGGTGGTTTCAAACCCCATCCTTTTGATTAGCAACTGAGTACTTACTCATTGTACCACCTTGGCTCCTTCCTGTAAAGATTACAGCCCAGCAAACACTATGGGGCAGGTCTACTCTGTGATACAGGTGTCCTGTGAGTCAAAATCAACAGACAGCACACCATAATAAGTGATATTTTGTATTTTTCTGTCACTTAGTCATAAAAAAATACAACCATGTTTCTTTAATGCTCCATTTGCTAATGTGGCAGTTTCTCTCAGAGGAGCTGGGGTGAAAATGAACGGGGTCTCCATGTCTTTTTGATTCTATTTCACACTTTTTCTGAAGAGCGGCTTCTGTTTTTTTGTGTCTCAGGGCTTCAGGTGAGCAGCAAAGTAATGAACGTGGTGGCTCTTTGCACAGAGACATAGTCAAGTCAACCAGACTGTTTCTGTAACTTGGAACACCCATTCCTGAACATTAAACATTTTACACTCTCTAAAATGTATTGTCCATCTTCCTCCTACTAGGGATTAGTCAGGAAATCAGATATTTTTCATTGCATACAAATACGAATTACTTGGAGTGTCTGAAAGGCTGGGCTAGGAGTTGTGTTGTGAGTTTTTGTACTGTTTCCAGAGTGGCGATCCTTCAGGTCCTCACCTTCTTGACTACCTCATCCTCAGAGTGGTAACCATTAATTTTCCCATGCATTTTCATTCAGCGGATCCGGGCCACAGTCAATAGCCAAGAGCAGAAAAGGCTACTGATGGACTTGGATGTTTCCATGAGGACGGTGGACTGTCCTTTTACGGTCACCTTTTATGGCGCACTCTTCCGGGAGGTAGGTGACCCTTCATTTCAGCCCAAGGAGAATAGTAACTTCAACAGAAGTTTCTTGGATGACATAAATACCATCTGCACACAGGGTAATCTTCTTGGTTGGCATGTCTTAAACTGAGGGTTTTTAAGTCTTATGCAAGGAGCCCTGGTGGCGCAGTGGTTAAGTGCTCACCTGCTAACCTAACATTGGTGGCTCACATCGACCAACAGTTCTGTGAGAGAAAGATCTAGTGACCCGCTCCTGTAAAGATGTACAGGATCTGCAGCCTTAGAGGGGCACTTCTGCTCTGTCCTGTAGGGTTGCTGTGAGTCAGAATTGACTCAACAGTATTAGGTTAATTCTCAAGCAAGGATTCCATGCCCTGGTGCAAATGTCAGCTTTCAAGTGTGGCATTTTCGAATGTGTTTAGCCCCTTGAAAGGTGCC